ATTCTTGACCTGTTCTATGACTTCTCGCCTTGTCACCAAATGCAAAATACTTGAGCTCTTCTACTCTCAGGATTATGGAAGTTCTCTGGTATTCCATTACTACATCTTCTTTGATAACATGTGGCTACCCAATCGTTCGATCTTCCTACCCTATTAAAAGCCATAATTTTACAATACTCCTGCCTTTTGAGCTATTCCTTCTCTAAATCTGATCTAGCTGGCTTGCTTACTTCTTTTGATTCTTTTTTCTTTTTTTCTGTTCTGTGTATTTTCACAAGTAGCCTATCATTCAAAAAGCTCACTACACGTCTCTTTCCCTTCTGCTTCCCACTTCATGTTTCTGCTGCTTTGAGATTCTGACATGCATTTCTCAATTTGTCAGTTTAGTTTTTCAGCTCCACGAATTTCCTGCTCTTTCTTACTTAGTGCATTTAGTCCTCTTCATCTGAATCACATAACTCTGAATACGGCTTCTGGAGTTCCTCTGCCATTGGTCTGAAAGTTCACCTACTGAGCTTTCAGGACAGAGCTTTTCTTTTGATCTTCTTTTGCTAAAAGGTCAATATATACATCTCTCTACAGGATTTGCTCACACTACACAATACATTTACGTTTATTCTGGTGCAATCATGGTTTCCCTAGGTGCTTCCTTTGTGTTTTCGGCCTTCTAATCTTTTTTTTCTTGACTAATGAAACATAAATAGGTAAGTGCAAGGAACAGGGAAGTATAAGAAACAAGAGAAAGTTCCAGTCCTCGTAATGATTCTTGTGATATTGTGGATGTTATAGTATGTGAATAATAATAAATATATAACGAAAGGTATGGACCTTGGCTATCGGACTCTTCCATCTGTGACTAGTTGTGACTCGTCCTTCGTAGGGCCTTTTTGGAGATACATCAAAAGGAATTAATGAGTTTGTGATACCAGCTCCTATTGACTGCCTCGCTGCCCATATCAGCCTAGAGGGCACCCCAAGCCCCAGTATCCCTGCACACTTCTGCCAGCCTGCTGGTGGTACCCCCTACCTCCGCGCCTTGCGAGACTGTTCTTTCTTGGGATTCTCTAGAAGCGTTCTCTTCTACCATGAATCACAAAATTTGTCGTTCCATTGGGGAATGACTGTTGATTCCTGGCGGGTTTTTACCTATACCCATGATTTAGCCTTTTCGCCCACTGTCGTCTCATTCTTACTCGCTTTCTTTTCTTTGCGTTTTTTTATGAGAACGGTCTCCACTCTGTTTGCCTGGGCCTAGGCTAGGGTGCCGTGCGCCTTATTATAGCCTCCACTGCGCGCCTCCAAACATCCTGGGCCTCCACGCATCCCTGTCTCCAGCTTTCTGGCTAATTTTTTTTATTTTTTGCTAGCGAGACATGGGCTCCACTACTGGTTCCCCAGCGCTGGTCTTGAACTCCTTGGCGCTCAGGCAGTCATTCGTTGCCCTCAGCCTCCACAAAGTACTGGGATTACAAGTGTGACCACAGTCCCCAGCTTCTTTCTCCTCCTTTTTTAGAGCAGAAGCAAAGTAGATCCTGAAAGGTCCTCAGTACACCTTTTGTATCACCATGCTTCAGTGTAACACCTGTCCTAGCAAAGTAAATCGGAATCTACTGTCGGTGGGCAAGACTAATTCACGCATTCACCTCTAAACAACTAAACGCACCATGGGACCTCACTTCGTGAAGAAAGTTAAGGCTTTCTTAGCCTGAAGCGAGGCCAAGGGGGTTGACCCTATGTGGGAAGTAACCAGCATATCTGCGCGGAAAACATATTTAACAATTTTGGTTATTGCCGCTCACGAGTGGCCTCACACCCTGTAATCTAGCACTCTGGGAGGCCAAGGCCGGAGCGGATCCACTCAAAGGTCAGGAGTTGACACCCAGCTGACCGCAAGAGCGAGAACCCGCCCGTCCCTACCTAAAATAGAAAGAAATTAATTGGCCAAGCTAAAAATATATACCAAAAAATTAGCTGGGCATCGGTGGCGCATGCCTGTAGTTCCAGCTACTCGCGAGCCGAGGCGAAGGATTGCTTGAGCCCACGAGGTTTGAGGTTTCTGTGAGCTAGCTCACGCCATGGCACTCTAGCCCGGCAAAAGAGTGAACTCTGTCTCAAAAAAAAAATATTTTTTGGTTAATAAACTACATAATTTGAAAAATTTAAATACTACCCTATTGGAGTACAAAATATATCCAATACACTGTACAGTGGAACAAATGAAGAAATATGCCCTCACCCATTTTTTACCTCCTAATTCCACTCCCCTGATGAAACTACTCTCAGTAGTTAGTTAGGTATGGTTTCAGATGTTTTACTCTGTTCATATAAGTATACATATGTCAATGTAGTTTTGGTTTTTTCCCCCTAAATTTTGATTCATACTAATCTGTACCTTGGTATTTTCCCTCACTAATATATCAAAGACATTTTTCCATATCAGTGTGTCAAGTGCTGTATCTTGCAGAGTATTCCACATGTAGGTCTACCATATTGTAGTTCATGTTGGCCCTTTTGATGGTCATTTAGGCTGTCTCCAGTTTTCCCGCATTACTAATAGTGTAGTATCTATCCTGTCCCACTTTTTATTACTTCGTGATGAAAAATTTCAATCATATATGAAAGTTGAGAGACTAGTAAGGATCCCTTACATATCTATCACCTTTCATCATCAGTTGTGAACATTTTATCTCTCATTTCATCCATCCCTCTCTCCTTACATTTTATTTTAGCTGAAGAACATTGAAAACAAGTCTCAAATATTCTTTCATCTATAAATACTTCAGCATCTAGGCCACTTTTTTTTTTTTAGATAAAATTCACATAACATGGCATTAACCATTTCAAATGTACAGTTCAGTGGCATTTAGTACATTCATAATCTAGTTCCAAAACATTTTTATCACCCCAAAAGGAAACACTGTATTTATTAAGCAGGCACTGTCCACTCAGCCTCCTCCCAAGCAGCCACTAATCTGCTTTGTTTATAGATTTACCATTTTTGAATATTTTACATAAATGGAGACATATATAACCTTTTATGCCCAGCTCTTATCATGTTTCCAAGGTTTATCGTGTTGTAGCACATATCAGTACTTCATTCCTTTGTATAGCTGAATAATATTCTGTTTTATGAATATGCCACATTCATTCATTAGTCGATGGATATTTGAATTGTTTCCACTGTTTGACTATTGTGAATAGTGCTGCTGTGAACATTTGTACAGACATTTTTGTTTGAATACCTATTTTTATTTCTTTGGTGTCTATACCTAGGAGTAGAATTGCTGGATCCTACAGTAATTGTGTTTAGTTTTTTGAAGAACTGCCATACTATTTACCATATTAACTCTACCATTTTACATTCCCACCAGCAATGTTTGTGAGTTCCAATTTCTCACCATCCTTGCCAACACTTATTTTCTGGGTTTTGAAATTATAGCCATCCTGGCCTGGCACAGTGGCTCACACCTGTAATCCTACCACTCTGGGAGGCCGAGGCAGGAGGATCGCTCAAGGTCAGGAGTTCCAAACCAGCCTGAGCAAGAGCGAGACCCCATCTCTACTATAAATAGAAAGAAATTAATTGGCCAACTAAAAATATATACAAAAAATTAGCCGGGCATGGTGGCGCATGCCTGTAGTCCCAGCTACTCGGGAGGCTGAGGCAGCAGGATCATTTGAGCCCAGGAGTTTGAGGTTGCTGTGAGCTAGGCTGACACCACAGCACTCTAGCCGGGGCAACAGAGACTCCATCTCAAAAAAAAAAAAAAAAAGAAAGAAGGGCTTCCTAGTCCCAGAGGTGGTTCATGCCCAAAGAGGTGAGGTTTAGCAATCACATAGGGCAGATTCACACATGTGCTGATGTGTCCCCCACCACATACACAGACACACACGCACACACACATACCCTACAGCTTGCAGTTACACACTCACCTATAGACACTGAGCAAAGTGAGACTCTGTCTCAAAAAAGAAAAAAAAAAGAAATTATAGCCATCCTAAGTGGGTGTGAAGTAATATCTTATTGTGGTTTAGATTTGCATTTCCCTAATGACTAATGATTTTGAACATTTTTTCATGTAGTTGCTGGCCATTCGTTTATCTTCTTTGAGAAAGGATTTCTTAAAGTCTTTGCCCATTTTTAATTGGGTCGTTTGTCTTTTTGTTGTTGAGTTGAAAGAGTTCTTTATATTTTAAATCTTGGACCCTTCGGAGATATATTTGCAAATGTTTTCTCCCATTATGTGGGTTGTTGTTTTTTTTACTTTCTTTGTGGTGTCCTTTGATGCACAAAAGCTTTTGATTTTGATGAAGTCAGTTTATATGTTTTTTCTTTTGTTGCTTATGCCTTTGATGTCCTAACCACTTCTGAAAGGGTATTTGTAGAAAGGATTCCTTAAAATAGGATTACCACTTAAATTCTTTATAGATACATATATATAGAGAGTCTGCCTTCCTTATCCACGGGTTCCATATCCATGAATTCAACCAACCACAGATCAAAAATATTCAAAAAAATAAAATTGTGTCTGTACTGAACATGTACAGTTTTTTTCTTGTCATTATTCCCTAAACAATATAACAACTATTTACATATCATTTACATTGTATTAGGTATTATGAATAATCTAGAGATGATTTAGAGTATAAGGGAGGATGATTATATGCTAATGAGTATGTGTGGATTTTGCTATCTAAGGGAGATCTTGGAGCCAGTCCCTCACAGATATCAAGGGACAACTGTACTCCAAAAGTTTATACACCCATCTACTAAGATGAGTGCACACCTTAACCCATACTATGTATTAATCAGACTTGCTATTTTCCCTTCTAATGTTTAACAGTTCGACAAGTGAAAATGATGTTTTAATATGTGTTTTCATTATCGCTAGTTTATTTACATTGTTACATTTTTAATTTTTCAGCCTATGGTCACTCAAATATTTGTTGAATGAATCTTCATATCCTTTGTCTGTTTTTTTCTTTTAAATTGTCTACAGCAGATGCTACATTTATGTGTGACAAGCGGTGTAACAAGAAACGGTTGTGTGGACGGCATAAATGTAATGAGATATGCTGTGTGGTAAGTGGATTTATCATCAGACATATTCAGATTCCTTTCATCCAGGTGCTGGGCTTCTGTAAGCTTCAGCCATCTGGAATGCAGCCCAGATTGAGAAATCATTGGGAGGGACCCATAAGCAGCAATCAGAAAGTTCTCATAGTCCCTGTACCCACTCAGCAGGGAACCAGACTGGGCCTTTTAAGGCCTCAGCCAGCTCAAGAACTCAGCCAGTGGCATCTGGTAACAACACAGAGGAAAAGAAAGAAGAAAGACAGATGGACTCAGGCCTCAGAGATCAAGACCACCAGATGAGCACAGTTTTCTGTAGGACACTGTGTATTGTCCCAACACAGGCTGGCCTAGACTTAGCAACTCAGGCTTCAGGTTTCATATATTCCTTAGGTCATATCAGTAGGTAAAATGAGTGTGACATTTTTTAAAGGGAGCAAGTTTCTTTATTTGAAATATTTACTCCTATGAAACTAATTAAAGGATACATTACCTGGTTATTGGTAATGTGTTATCTTGTCATATATATTATGTGTATATTATGTGTGTATATGTACATTCACACATATAACAAGATAACCAGCAAGGAAGTACATATACATGTATATGTATGTATATTAAATACATAATTATTATTTTTTAAATTTATATATTGACAAGGTAAAGAGTGATAAAGTTGTGCTGTAACCAAGACTTATAAAACCAGTTTTAAGGCTTGATGACTTCCTCTTATTATCAAAAATTTCAAATGTATACAAAAGCAGAGAGAACAGTATAGTGAGTCCCATATATATAACATCCAGCTTCAGTAGTGATGAACTCATAACTAATCTTGTTTCATCCATATCCCCACCTATTTCTCCTTCTCTTGATTATTTTGAAGCTATTCTATTAACCTGCTTGTTATGGAAAATATAAAATGGAGACCATTTTGTGAACAAATATAAATCTCTGTTTCCAGGATAAGGAGCACAAGTGTCCTTTGATTTGTGGGAGGAAACTCTGTTGTGGCCTTCATAGGTGTGAAGAACCTTGTCATCGTGGGAACTGCCAGATATGCTGGCAAGCCAGTGAGTGTCTCAAGATTGATTTGCTTAAATTGGTGTGGATTTTTTTTTTTTTTGAGACAGGGTCACACTTTTTCGCCCAGGCTAAAGTGCAGTTGCATCATCATAGTTCACTGCAACCTCTAACTCCTGAGCTCAAGCAATCCTCCTGCCTTAGCTTCCCGAGTAGCTGGGACTACAGGCACATGCCACCATGTCTGAAAGTTTTGTATTTTTTATGCAGATAAGATCTTGCTATGTTGGCCAAGTTGGTCTCAAATTCCTAGGCTCAAGCAGTCATCCTGCCTTGGCTTACCAAAGTGCTGGGATTACAAGTGTGAGCCACCACACCCAGCCAGTTTTAATTTTTAATATGGTGGATATAGATAAATATAACTCACGTCAGAAAGAAATTACAACTGAGAGGTTTTTTTTTCTTTTGAGAAGGGTCTCTGTTACCTAGGCTGGAATTCAGTGGCATGATCACAGCCCCAAACTGAGAAATTTAAAAACTAATTGATTCATTAGTTCATTTTAAAATAATATATATTCATTGCATGTATATAAGTACCATAATATTTTTAGAAAATTAACTATATTTTTAACAAAATAGAATAGCAGATGCCTGGTTTAATAGAAGATAGCTGAATTCTCTGATCTACTTCTCATTCAGTCTGATTAACTGGGCATGGTGGCACATGCCAGTAGTCCCAGCTACTTGGGAGGCTGAGGCAAGAGAATCACTTGAGCCCAGGAGTTTGAGGTTGTTTGTGAGCCAGGCTAACACCATCGCACTCTAACCCAGGACAACAGAGACTCTGTCTCAAAAAAAAAAAAAATTTTCAAATGATTATGGATATTCTTCTTTGAAATTATACCAAAACTCAACCTTATTTCAGAAAGGACTTGAGTCAGTGTTTTTGTTTTTGTTCTCTGTCACGTTAAAATCCATTGGTCTTTTTTATACTTTGTGATTTTTGTGTTTTATTTGTTTGCTTTTTATTGGCTACAGTTGCTAAAATGGGATCTTGTACTTTGAATGGATCTTTTACCCATGCATGATTTTATAATGGCATACACTGATCATTTAGAAAATAATTGTTCACTGGGTTATGCAGATCTTTGAAATGTTGACAAATTTCATATTGTAATATTAAATAATCATTAATACAACCTCCAATCTAATTAAAAATGATTGAGAAAAGTACTGGGAAGTTGTCATGTTCATAGTAGGAAATGGAACAATTCATATGTGTGTGTGCCTTTTTTACTTGCTTGGTTTTAATTAAAAAGAAACTCAAATTCTCCTCTAAAAAATGCAAGCATAAAAATATGTATGTATAAATATGTATGTGCATATCTCAAACTCATGAATAATTGTTTTGTTTCACCTGCTGCCCCTCCAGGTTTTGATGAATTAACCTGCCACTGTGGTGCATCAGTGATCTACCCTCCAGTTCCCTGTGGTACTAGGCCCCCTGAGTGTACCCAAACCTGCGCCAGAGTCCATGAATGTGACCATCCAGGTGAGTTTCATCTTACACCTGCACTTCCCAACCTGCTTACACCATGTCATTTAGGATGTTGCTGTGTCTTCACTGCTCTAAGGTCATGCTGTGATGGCTTCCCCCTGCTCCCCATGCTCAGGGGCTGTTTTTGTGAAGGTGGATGTGTGATCTGGGCCACAGCTGGGAATCCTACTGCCCTCCATTGCTTTATTCTAAGGATGTCAAACACACCTGAAAAGTTCTTGTCTCTCAGGAATTTCTTTCTTTGTGGGCTCCACTTCGGTGCATATTTTAAAGTTGAGCATCTTTTTATAAAATTAAAAGTGACTTTGTTGTTGTTGTTACAGAAGCAATGTATTTATTATATAAAAATAAAGAAAATAGAGATAAAGTCAAAAGATTGAAATGAAATTATCTATTATGTCACCTTTGAAGAGTTACACTTTAGTGCGTATTTTTCAGAGTCATTTTCCACATTCAAATATATATATTTGCATTTTTTCCTAAAATAAATGTGGGATCCTATTGTATTTAATAATTTGAAGCAGATTTTTTCCTCTTATATTTTTAGTCTCTCTGCTTGTCAATGAGTATTTTTCTACAATATAGATTTTTTTTTTTTTTTGAGACAGAGTCTCACTTTTGTTGCTCTGGCTAGAGTGAGTGCCGTGGCGTCAGCCTAGCTGACAGCAACCTCAAACTCCTGGGCTCAAGCAATCCTCCTGCCTCAGCCTCCCAAGTAGCTGGGACTACAGGCATGCACCACCATGCCCGGCTAATTTTTTGTATATATAATTTTAGTTGGTCAATTAATTTCTTTCTATTTTTACTAGAGACGGGGTCTCGCTCAGGATGGTTTCGAACTCCCAACCTCGAGCAATCCGCCCGCCTCGGCCTCCTACAATATAGATTTTTAATGGCAGTTAAGTGTCCTGTTACATGGATGAGCTATAATTTATTCAGTCAGACGTGTTGCTGGACAGTTAGGTTGTTTCCAGTTTTTCTCTGATAAACTGCTGAGCTACCAGGCCAACAGCTACTTGATGTCACCAGTTTTTCATGTCTGTCAAGTCTAGTTGCTGGCTTTCCTCTAGGACCATATTGGGTCCATCATTTTATTTTACCAAGTCCCAGAGGCAAACCAGTAATAACTCAAGGCACCAGATGTGATACTCACAATAAGCCTGACCATATGATTCAGACTTATAAAATAGACAATAGCTCTTTTTTTTTTCTTTATTTTTCTAGTGATGTTCAAACTAGACAATTAGCTCTTAATTTTTTAAATTAATAGAGTAAAACAGAATTAAGTAAATGCTTCATGAAGTGAAAAGTTCATTCCTTCCCTGGAGACCTTAGGATGGCCCTCCCAGCATAGTTTACAAGGCCCTCCTGTGGCATTCATGCCAGCATGAAGCCACCCAGTCAAATACCCACCCATTCCTTCCTTTACACTCACTTGCAGGTATTACAGATGAAGTCCAAATTCTGCTGAGCAATATCCATAGTAAGAAGTTAACCATTTTTGTGAATTGTGTTATTTTAGCCTGCTTTTTGTTCAGCATTCATTTCCATTTTCTTTTTTTTCTTTTTTTTGAGACAAAGTCTTACTACATCACCTGGGCTAGAGCACCATAGTGTCAGCATAGCTCATGGCAACCCCAAACTCCTGGGCTCAAGCAATCCTCCTGCCTCAGCCTCCCAAGTAGCTGGGACTACAGGCACTTGCCACCACACCTGGCTAGTTTTTTCTATTTTTTGTAGATATGGATCCTTGCTTTTGCTCAGGCTGGTCTTGAACTCCTGAGCTCAAGCCATCCTTCCTGCTCGGTCTCCCACAGTGCTAGGTTTACAGGCATGAACCACCATGCTAGACCCACATTTCCATTTTCTTAAGTGTTTATTGTATATACGGCATGGTGTCAGACACAGTGTGCTTCAGAAGAACAAAAAAATAGCACATGATCTTGAGGTTCTTATGTTCTCCCTGAGAGGAAGAGGGATGGTAGTTAAGTACACATAACACATGACAAAACCAACCTTCTTATGAGACGACAGCAACCCACCTACATAAGCACTGAAACCATCAGGGAGTGTGAGGGAGCTCAGGCTAGAGTGTGGTCAGCCAAGGAAGATTTTGTTGTAGGAAATGAGTTTTGATGAACTGCCCCATATAAGCAATAAAGAAATTGGAAGGAGACAGCAGAAGCATTTTAGACAGAATCGATAGCAAAGATATATGAGCAAAAGTGAGCAGTTGCTGTACAAGGTAGGGCCAAAAAAAAAAAATGATACAGGAGGATGAACAGACCACATGGCTGTGCTGCAAGAGATGAGGTGGGAAAGCTGCCTCCTCTGCTTCTGTATTTTGGCATATCTCTTCCCCCTCAGTTGGGTTTCTTTTTCTCACTCATACTAATCCTTCAACACTTTAATGTAAAGCCAAGTTCTTTTTACTTTCCTGTGACCATTTAAAAAAGTACTCCTAGCTCCTGAATTTAAAAGTTTCATGTCATATGCCATTTATAACATGTATAATATTGCTTTATTTAGAAATTATTCCTGATGTTGCCTTTCTGTCTCTGTAGTATATCATTCTTGTCACAGTGAGGAGAAGTGCCCCCCTTGTACTTTCCTAACTCAGAAGTGGTGCATGGGCAAACATGAGGTAAGTTTTCTCTCTCAAGTGTTCATCATTGTGGACACAGGACCATGATTTAATCATTAATTTGATCTTAATGAATAAGATTTATGATTTAATTACCTAAGAGTTGTTACTGTCAACATTTCCCAAATGTATTTTAAGAAATAGAAGCTGTCTATTGCCCTTTTTCTTTTTTTTTCTTAAATAAAATTTGTATACAACAGAATTTATCCTTTTTAGTGTACAGATCTGTGAGTTTTAACAACAGAATTTATCCTTTTTAGTGTACAGATCTGTGAGTTTTAACAAAAGTGTACGCACAGTCACTACAACAGTGAAAATGTACCTTTCAGTCACACCCAAACGCTCCTTCATGCTCCTCTATAGTCATCCCCTACTCCACCTCTAGGCCCTGACGACCAATGATCAGTTGTCTGTCCCAAAGTTTTACTTTTTAAGAGTGTCACATAAACAAGAACTACCATATGATTCAGCAATCCCACTGCTGGGTATATATCCGAAGGAGGGGAATTCAGTATATCAAAAAAACATATCTGCACTCCCATGTTTATTGCAGCACTATTCATAGTAGCCAAGATACGGAATCAACTTAAGTGTTCATCAACAGATGAATGGATAAAGAAATTGTGGTACATGTGCACAATGGTATACAGCCACAAAAAAATAATGAAATCCTGCCATTTGCAACAACATGGATGGAATTAGAGAACATTATTATGTTAAGTGAAATAAGCCAAACACAGAAAGATATATTTCATATGTTCTCACTCTTATGTGGGAGCTAAATAATAGAAACAATTGATCTCATGGAGACAGATAATAGAATGATGGCTACCAGAGGCTGGGAAAGGGAGTGGGGAGGAGGGGATAAAGTAGAGATGGTTAATGGGTGCAAAAATATAGTTAGATAGTTAGAATGATATTTGATTGCACAATAAAGTTACTATAATCAACAATAAGCTAGGGTATACTTTAAAATAAGTAAAATAGTAGAATTGTAATGTTCCTAACACAAAGAAATGCCTGAGATAATGAATACCCCAACTACTCAGATTTGATTAATTCACATTGTATACCTGTATCAAAACACCACATGTACC